GAGGCTTCTCTGCAGAGCTGTTTGAAATGGTGGCACATGGTCAGAGCTCAGAACCTTCAGCTGCTGTTACATCCATCCGTTCATTCATTCGTTCGTTCATTCAGCGTACCAGATTCTCTGTTAAGCACTTAGGCAGAATGATAGTGATGGTAGTTAAGTGAAGCTGGAAATGCCTTCTGAAGCCCTCCTTGTGGGTTTAATGAAATATAAAAAACCACAAATTTTGAATAAAGGGAAGGGTTGATGGACCGTCTGTGTGGTTATCACTGTCCACGCAGGGAGGCACTCAGCAAGCATGCAGGAAAGAAAGAGCAAAGGAGAAGGCAAGGGGGGACAAGAGGTGGAGGGACGGTGGCGCGAGAGGAGGAGGGACAGCGGGGCGGGAGGTGCAGGGGTAGCTCAGGACAGGAGAAGCAAGCATGCAGGAAAGAAAGAGCAAAGGAGAAGGCAAGGGGGGACAAGAGGTGGAGGGACAGTGGCGCGAGAGGAGGAGGGACAGTGGGGCGGGAGGTGCAGGGGTAGCTCAGGACAGGAGGTGGAAGGGTAGCGGGGTGAGAAGGGAGCAGGAGGAGAGGCCCCTGGTGAGCTAACGCAGCCTGGAATGCAGTGGGTAGGTCTGGCCAGGCAGCAGTCCAAGCAAAACCTTCCCTTTCTGCATGGGTAAGGATTTGTCCTATTTAATGCGCAGACGCCTTACTCTTTGGCAAGAGACGAGGCACCAATGCACAGACACGGTCTACATCCCAGGAGTCAAAGGAGGTGGGAGCCCAGGGAGGGCGTCAGCCTCTGAGGGGAGAACACGGCAAGTGTGACAGGGAGGCAGCGTTTCAGGCTCTGCTTCTCCTCCTCCTCCCCACCCACCTGCCCTAGATGAAGAGTCCTGGTTTGGAAGTGCTACTCTGGGGAAGAACCTGCCAGGTCCCCTTAAGCAGACATGAGCCCCGTCAGCCTTCCTTCCAGCAGATATGAGATCTTAGGCAGAGAAACATTTAAATCAAATCACGTGTTAAACATTCAGAGCTTTCTAAGTAATATAAGGGAGAAGGGGACAGTCCACGTGTACATGAGACATTGGACACAGTCCTTTAAAGAAGGCCTCAAAAATGGCTCTCAAAGACTAATTCTTGACAGTGTCTTTGTGAGATCCTACTTTCATTTGATAGCTGGTTTTGTTCTAGAAAGAAAGATTCTTAAATTTCACTCTGATTTGGCAAGTCAACTAATAATTTTCACCTAATATCTGAGCAAGAAGAAGCAAAGAATTTGCTAGAAAATGTGGGAATATGTCCTTATCTACAGGTCTTCCCTGAAGTTGCATTATGGAGATCCCTTCATAGCTACAAAAACACTAGAGCAAAACAGTTGGTTAAACCTGTTCATTTCCATTTGGTGACTTCAGCGATCATTTTTGGGGCCCAGTCTGTGCTGGAGAGTCCATGAGCATCAGCTGTAAAAGAAGTTGGAAGTGTGGTCCAGTCTCCCGGAGGGAGAGGAGGGTGCATTTGTAAGCAAGTGGGAGAGAATGTGGCGCAAACAACCTAAGATGTGTGCAGAACTGGACCCCTCCCCGCTGCTCCTGCCTCCCAGCCTGGCCCTGCACGGAGAAGGCGGGGGCTCCTGAGCTCAGGTCAGCAAGCTGGAGCTTGGTAAGGCCCCAGAGAGCTCAGCTCAGCTAGGCAGGCGTCTGTCGAGCAAAGAGGAGCAGCAGGCACAAGTGAGCCTGTCTGCCACAGGGAGGAAGGCATGTGTGACAAGGACACCAGGAGGCTGTGGCCAGGGACCGTAGTTCAGGGGTAATATTTCTAGGAATTCACCATGTGTTGGGCACTGAGCTAGCTGCTCCCCAAGTATTATTTTTTTCCTTACTCCTACAGCAGTGATTCTGATTGCAACAGCATTTGGAAGCAGCCAGGGAGGTGGTGGGGAATAGCACCGTGTAAAAGTATGTTCAGTAGCCATGTGGTTTCAGTAAGAACAAGTAAAACAGTGGAAAGTAAGACTGGACAGAAGCCTTCTCCACCAGTAGAGAATCACTTAAGATAGCCTTGGACAGCAGGCTGAGAGCATGGCTTAAGAACACGGACACGTGCAGCCTTGCTGCAGCCTCGCCTGGCAAGGGGAACTGTCAGGAAGGTGAGCGCAGGCACGGGGCACGTGGCAGCTCCAGGGCCCAGGGCTCAGCCTCACAGCAGAGCTCTTGTCTGTCACTGTCCTCTTCTGCTCAGGACCTCTGGCCTTGTGATTTGAGTAACTGGATGGAGAAAAGTTAATGATCATCAGCAGCTAGTTTTATCCTCATTTATTGTCACTGACGTTGCCCAGATTCAAGTTACTGTGACCATTAGATGAAGTAAAAAGACAGACTCAAATGTAGTCCCTGACATGGAGCAGTGCGGACCCTCGTGTGAGCAGGACACCAGCCTCAGGTGCAGAGTACCATCTTCTCGTGGTGCTGGGAGTCTCATGAGAAACCCACTCCTCACTGCAGGGCCCCTGTGTTTCAGGGCATGAACTACCTGGAAGACCGGCGCCTGGTGCACCGTGACCTGGCAGCCAGGAATGTGCTGGTGAAGACGCCACAGCATGTCAAGATCACAGATTTTGGGCTGGCCAAGCTGCTTGGAGCTGAAGAGAAAGAATACCATGCGGAAGGAGGCAAGGTAGGGAGCAGTCATTTTCCCGACCTCAGAGACCAGGCTCCCTGCTGTTCATTGTGTTCTCCAACTGATATAGGGGACATTCACAGAACACTCTGGGTGCAGTCACAGCAGCGACCACTGACACCTGGGTCTAACCAGGGTTGTCTTCTGGCTCTGCAAGTCAGAGCAGGATTTACTGGGGGAAAAAAACAGCTGGGAAATGTCACAGCTAATTTTGTGGCACACTGCTGTCAAGGATGTCTCAAAATACAAAAAACTCCCCCCATTCCTTGAGCTCCCATGGGTCTCTGTGGCTCATACCTGGGGCTACCCAAGATGGAATTGGCTCCCTCTCTCCTCCTGGCTTGGGGTTTCTCCAGGGACTCTCACACTAGTGAGGGGTGCTCGTCCCCCATCAGGCCCTCCAGATACCCCCTACAGCCACGCCTTGCCACACCAGCTCCACTCTGACCTGCTTGGCTCCAAGCAGCCACCCACCACCCTATTACGCGGGCCCCTGAAAATGCACACGGATGGGGGTAGATGGGACCATGGGGCACAAACAGGGCCCTTGCTCACAGAACAGCCTACGCCCAGAGGTCCTCAGCTGTGGCACTCACAGAACTGAGTCTGGGGCCTCCCAGAGCATGCCTGTTCTCTGCCTGATTTAAAATCTCCTTCTGCAGGGGGAGAGCACCAGGCTGCAGGGCCCAGGCGGTAGGGGCGGCCTGGCTTGCCCACAGCCTTCACTCGTAATTATCCCAGCATGATTTGATTATTTTCAACAGAGGGAAGCTAATAGTTGTCTTACTGCGTTATCTCCTGTCATCCCAAGGTGCCTATCAAGTGGATGGCTTTGGAATCAATTTTACACCGAATTTACACTCACCAAAGCGATGTCTGGAGCTACGGTGAGTCAAAATCCTGAGGCTGATGAATGTGCACTAGGCGCAGCTGGCTGTCGTCGTCTGTTAATGTACATATCGTGCTCTGACACGCAAGTGCTTTCTTTCAAGATGACTGATAATAACATAATAGCTGCTGCCTGTAATACTGAGAAAACGCGACAAAGGAAATCGAGTCTAACTGCCATACCAAATGTCACCGGTGAAGTGTGTGGCAGACAGGGTCACGGGACGGAGAGAGGACTCAACTTAGGAGACACCTCTGCCCACGGAACCAAACCAGACTTGACCTTTTGTATGACTTTGAAGTGAACCAAAGGGAGATGACAGTCGAGGTCCCTGGGGAAGACTTTCCCAGCAGAGCAGTGAGGCTGTAGGATGAACTTGCTCGGTGGCTGCAGTTTCGCGCAGCCAATAGTGGTCTTTGTGCACCAGGGAGAATGTGCTCTGTGAGGGTGTCTGTGGGGAATAAAAGGGAAATATGCGGTCACTGCCTCTCCTGTGCTCAGGACCACCTGGCCAGGATGTGACTCTGTCCCCCTTTCTGAATCCCAGCACAGCCACGCACAGGCCACGCTCTGTCCTCACAGGTGCCCACTCGCACAGTCACCTGTGCTGCCTGCCACACTGGGTCCTCGGGTGTCACCAGCTCTCTACAGAAAGGCTGGAGAACACCTTATCTACTGCCTGTCTTTGTGGATTATCAGGTGCCCCAGCCGCTCACAGCAACCCCACGTCCACAGAAGTGTGCGTGTGGGGAGAGCAACACCGAAAGGAATTCCCAAGAGGAACTCAGTCATCACAAAAGCAAAGTATTCAGGAGATTGTCCATTGAGTATTTTTTTCTGTGTCCTATAGCATTATTAATTTTCTAATATTCCCAGTATAAATCTATATACATTTAATTTCATGAGTCTTTATCTGTAAGCTTTATGAAGGCAGAGATCTTTGTCTGTTAATGAATAAGTAAACTTTGATATGTACCTGTGAGGTGAGCTGCCTCCATTAATGGGATAGGTAAGGAAATGAAGCTGTTCTGATGCCTCGTTATTTCCAGTCATTTTGAAGATAAGTCTCCTCTCCAAGAGGAACGCCTGGGTCCTGCCCCGGTCACTCTGGGACGGCTCAGCTGTAGTTCCAGCTGGTCTTCTCTCTTCCACTTTGCACTGCTCAGCTACACTCCAGACAGTGGCAAAATACGCTCCTGAACCATATCAGACTTTTACTTCTCTGCTTAACATCCTTCTTTGGTTTCCCAAGTACATTGAAATAAACCTGAACTCCCGACTCATAAGGTCACAAAGGGTCTGCCCCTCCACCTGCCTCCAGGTTCCCCCAGCATGTGCCAGCCCACCCTCGCCCACACTCGTCCAGTAAGTGCAAACTCTCTAGAATTCCGGCCAGCCCAGTGGTGCACTGGAGAGTGCGCCGCTTGGGAGCACGGCGGCGCTCCCGCCGAGGATTCGGATCCCAT